TTAACAAGGCTTTTTGAGTCAGAGGCGGGGGGGAGGGGGGGGAAGGGGGAGCAGGATACGATGTAGCATACTGTAAAAGCTAACATATGGATTGAAGGTTGGTACTTCATAAAGAAGAGAGATTGTGAATAAATTAATACAGAAAGAAGCAGAGACATTTTATTTCAGGCATCTTTCATGAGTCTCTGGAATAAAAAATATTATGCTGTAATAGTTAAAATAGGAAAAAAGAATGTGGAGTTGAATGGTGAATTGGAATTGATGGAAAATAATGTTCTTTTCTATGAAGAAAAACTGCAAAATAAAAATAGGAGCAGTGTTGAATTAATAGCAGGCATGAATTATTATTGAATTAAATGAATTATATAGCAACAATTAAATATTTATTTATCTATACCACTACAACCCATGAAGGGTCTTGGGTTCAGTAGTTTATTAGCCAGTGCCACTTTAAGGACAATGGTTATGCAAAGAGATGATTAAATTGAAGAAAAATTAAATTTGTCAATATAAAAAAATCTTAATAATATAATATTAAAAAAATAATAATCTAAGCAATATTTCTCAAGCATTATTAAAAATATTCTCATTTTTATATACTAACCAGTGAGGTGGCTTTCCTTTTAGACATTTTTAATTTTTTGTTTGTTTACTATGATTATTTATTTATTAATTTTGTTTTGAAATTTTGGTTTTCAATAGCCAAATTTTAAAATTGATAGAAAAATATTGGTCAACATATTGATACTTCAATATTTTCCAACATTCCTATGGTCTTCAGAGTAATCCTTTTCCATCTCTCCCTATCCGACACCTCTCTCAGACTTCCATTTTTCTCCCATCTCTCTCTCTTTCTCTCCATTTCATTCTTCCATCAGATTGGTCTTTACTTTTATTATTTCCATTGAAGTACATCTTTAACACTTTTTCTTTACTCTCTCACCTTCAATTGTGACCACATTTCTTGTCCATCTTTGCCTACTTGCAATTAATGATGTTCTTATTCTCTAACTTTTTTTTTTTTTTTTCGCCTGTTGACTTCAACTTTTTAAGTCATGAGTCTTCTTCAGCAGCTTGTGGCTAATATAGGCGACAGTAGTGGTCATTTGGTTCTCTTCTTTGAGATATTCAGGGATATCTCTAATAACCACATGGTTCACTAACCGGATGCACATTTCATACCGCCTTCATCAAGAACTTTTCTGAAGGATAGTTAGCAATCTTTTGCTTCAATCTTCCAAGCTTTTTTTATGGGATAGAGGATTATCAGCCCTATACCCAACCCCCAAACTGGAGGACCTGGAGCTATGGTGTAAGACACAGGGGGTCGCTCACCTCCCAATGAATATCAGGGTGTGGACGTTACCGTCTCCATGCACGAATCGAATTCTCTAATAAACTATCAGTCTCCTAATTTTCTCTTTACCTTTAACATGTGTTCTGCTATAATTATTTCTAGCAATCTTTCTTTTAAATACTCTCAGTTTATGTTAATCATCTTAGGACAAATATTCCCTCCATAGGCGATAACTGATGTTATAAAAGGTTTATATAATTTTAATTATGATGCTCTCGACAACAGTAAATAAATACATCGTTTGCCTATAATTAAAAAGAGAAAACAAAAATAAAACAGTAAAATTAAATAACTGTTGCTTAAATAATTGAATACCAGTCTTTAAAAAATAAGAAACTCAATTGATTAAGGAGTTATTAAACTTTATACAAGATTGATCACATTTGATTACATAAGGTTTCTGTGCTTGATTAAATTAGTATTTAATGAGGTCTAATGAAATTACCCATCAAAACATCATCACTCGGTTTGGATAAAATAAGCAATATTTGAGGAGGTAAACTGGAAAAATAATCTTCAGAATCAACAATTGTGCCATCTATTAATGATAGATAATATTCATCAGCATTTTTGACCTTAAAAAAAAAAGAAAAATATTTAGTAATCAACAAATTATAGTTATACCTAACGTTAGGATTTGAAATACGTACATTAAACTTCAAACAGGCTTTGAGTTTAAGTTCTTCTAATGAAGAACAGGCAATTCCACAAGTTTTAGTCCGAGTAGCATTAGTTACTTTATAACCCTATACAAAAAATAAATGAGTAAATAAAAATATATAAATTTCTACAAGACAAAGAATCTATATTCTCTTATAAAAGGTTTTGAGTATAGATAAAACAAATATATCTCTTATAGTTTTATATCTATTGAAGAAATAAGATGAAAAAAATATTTTAAGAAAATAAGTAGTAACTTTAGTTTAAGGATAATTATTTTGAATTTTGTTGGAAAAACATAAAAAAAAAAAAATAATAAAAAAAAATAATGGAAATGATTTACTGTAGTTCAAATTGAAGGAATAGTTGGTAAGGAGGTATGCTGAATACTCATACACTATTATGGTGTAAAGGTGTATTCAGACATTTCAAAAACTATTGGATAAACAAATATATAAATGGTTATTTCAATATGCTAGTATTTTTGTTTCTTTTCTTTAGTTTCCATCTGCAGTCAGTTTAACAAAAATGTCGTCACTAGTTAAGTTAGATAATTGTGCTTCTCATAGTTTCTGAAAGGTCTAAATGCACCTTAAGATGGTGGAGATATTGACTTCTGGAAGAAATTGTTGAAGAGAACTTGGTTAGGGACTAGTAATGAAGGCCTGAAACTTAGGCTGAAATTTCGGTACAAAGAAAATAAACATATTTTATTTTTGGAGGAGTTTGTCGCGGGTGCGGTCAGATAAATACTAAATTAAAATATAGTAATTATTTTATTTTAATTTTGCTGATGTTTCGACCCACTTTGCAGGTCGTCTTCAGGACGTAGAATGTAGCACAGTGCTACATCCTACGCCCTGAAGACGACCTGCAAAGTGGGTCAAAACGTCGGCAAAATTAAAATAAAATAATTACTATATTTTAATTTAGTATTTATCTGACTGCACCCCCGACAAACTCCTTCTCATATTGTATCAACGGTGAACCATCTCTACATCATATTTTATTTTTGTGTACTTCCATGACCGCAATCCTCAATAAATTCTCTTCAACAATTATGGTGTAATATTTATTTATACTCAAAATTTCAAGGATCATTGCACTTGAGTATCTTGGCATTGGTGGACTTAGATCATAGGTCAAAATGTAGTTTACAAAAAAATATTACACCATAATAGTGTTGTGTCTGAAATTCATCTTCCCTCTCAACCTATAGGGGGAGAGAAGATGGGGGAGGAAAGGGATGGGAGAGGGAAGAAGGAGAGTGAGAGAGAGCACCACTTATACATAGAGTTCGAATGCATAAGTGATAGCATCAAGCATCAAAAGCTGTATGAGGAGTATGGAAATCCTTTCTAAGTTAATCTGACTATTTAAAATGATGAAAAATATAAACTGACAAATTTTTATCCAGTCAGATAACACTTCAGAATTTTCTTTTAATAAAGAATTAAGTCATATGATGCCTTAGTCTGTCTTTTTTTTTATCATAAGAGATTGTTAAAGGAGTACAGAACAATGGAACACTATTTTCAAGATCAAGAATATGATCTGATTTATTAGCAAACACCTTTGAAGGCTGAGAGAGTGCTTTAATTGATGAGTAAGGAGCTGCTTTGTTGATGGGACTTATAGTGAACATAAAGAAGAAAAAAATATATGTTTTCAGAAGATGGCAAAAGACCATGCAACCAAACAAAGATCATCATGGTATGTTTGAGATGTAGGTCATGATGGCCAAGCATGTTAAAGCATAAACATTAGCATTCTCAAGTCTAATGATGCTGGTTTCAATCCGGCCAGAGCGGGTTAAAATTTATTTTGTGGCGAACCCACGGAATGAATCTTGATCTTCTTAGTCTGATTAGAATAGGTTTGGTTGCACCTCTAGAACAAATCCCCTGTATGGCAGAAATGGCGAGGTATGAGTATCAATAAAAAAAAAAAAGTATATTTGAAGGAGTGTCTGAAGTTAATAACTACCTGAGAACTCATGTAAGCTCTGTAAAAAACATAGCTACAAAAGTTAGACTAAGGGTTGCAGCCATTAATAAATGTTACTCTGGCATGCTGAAGCATATTTGGAGATGACTTATCATGAGCAAGGCCGTGGAGAGAAACCAAGGACCTCTGGCATAATTTCAACCCAGTTAAGTATTAAATTTAGCATTAAAATCCCACTGAAGACTATTAAAAAAGTGTGCAACAGCAATATTATGTTACTTAATAATTGAATAATATATGTAATGTTATTCTATACTTTATTGTAATGCAGATGTAGAAGGAAAAAATAAATCCTTATAGACCAGGCTGGGCCTCAGGGTTGCTACACCTTCTGCAACCCTCCTCTCTCGCCAGGCTTGTTCATGAGGCACACTAAGATAAGCCTCCGTAAAACTCTTTTTTGGCCTATTTTTAAGTATCAAACACACTTGACCTATATCTAATAATGTCACAGGAAAATATAAAGTAAAAAATAAAAGATCAAAAAAGGAATAATAGTGCAACATCAGAGATGTATGTGAAGAGTGTATTTAACTGAAATGAGAAAATGAACACATTTATTTACAATATACAATTCTTTTATAGTGTGATCCATGTGATCATGGCCCATCTCACTCATCTAAACCTGACATTTTTGTCTAGAACCAAAAATTTAAACCATGAAAAACCATTAAACTACTATTTATGGTCAAATTAAACAGAAAACGGACAATGATTATTTAAAAAACAAAACAATAAACAATGAGAAATGTAGGAACAATAAACACAATATATAATTATTTTTATTATACATCTTGATAATAATATTAGAAATTCTATATTTCTTAAGATGACTTACTTGCAACATTTTTAAAGATCATTATAAAAAATTAGTAAACAAGATAACTATCACTTTAATGTTTATAAACTGACATGTTGATAAACAATAAACCGCGTAAAAGGTTATACATATCTTATCAAAAATTTTGCCTGTAGTGTGGGCCCAGCTCGATTTCCATGAATTCTACCAAATATTCAGATTGTTGGAATGTTATTAAGTTTTTAAGATTCGTAAACCATTTTTAAAGGTTATTTGTAGGCAGTTAAGTAAAATCTCCTTTAATACTAATTGAATTGATCTTGAAGACCTATCGATGTAGATAAACACGTATTTGATTTAGATGGCAGTCATGTTTGACTGTTACCGAAGATGGCGTCTCTGAGAAATTTAAGTAAAAATGTACCTTATTTAGGACAACAGTTTTCTGCCCTTCTGGGCAATACAAGCTTGTCAGTGAAGATTATTAGTGCTATTATCTTTTTCACCTATTTTTTATCTTTTTCGGAAGATGCTATTAAGTTTCTTAGTGTGACTCCAGGATATATACTGCCACCTTCTTTTTGGATATGGACAGCTTGCACATATTGTTTTCTAGAAATACACTTTTGGGAAGTAATAGTAGATTCAGTTACTATTGGTTTATGTGGGAAACTCATAGAACCGTTATGGGGACAACTGGAATTACTAGTTTTCTTTGCAATTGTTAACATTGGAGTTGGTGTTGTGAGCGCTTCCTTCTATCTCTTCCTTTATATGTTTACATTCAATACAGACCTTTTGTTTTATGTTCATATTCATGGCCTTGCTGGATTCATTGCAGGCCTGTCAGTGGCTGTCAAACAAATTATGCCAGATCATGTGATTGTTAAAACCCCCTTAGGAAAGATAACAAATCGAAATATTCCATTGTTATTGGTAATTGTGTCTTTCATAATGTATCTTTGTGGTATGTTGGAAGGAACCTATCCAACTATGCTAACAGCTGGGCTCCTGGTGAGCTGGACATATCTTAGGTTTTATCAGCGACATAGTAATGGTACTCGAGGAGATTTGGCTGACAACTTCACATTTGCAAGGTAAGTTCTATTCTTGTACAACATTTGTTTAAATTTGAAGCCAAACCTGATTAGGCACATTATAAATTATTAACAACAGACTCGTTTTTCCATAGTCCTCACCCATTTACAAAGATTATATTGCAATATAATCTAAATATATTGCAAAGTTTATATACCAAATTAATGAAATTAATCTTTTTGTTTTTATTAAAGGCAGAACTATTTCAACTTTTCTCATCACTTCCCTATCTTAAACTGTTAGCCATGAAGAATCTCTTTCGCTACTGTTTAACCTGACCCTTCATAGTAGTCACACTGACTTTTTTCCTAATATATACTATTATTAATTGAAAAGGTAGTTTCTAAACAATTATTACTTAAAGCGTGAATATTTTTTACCATAATTAAATTATGTTTAAAATGATTTAATGTTCTTATTACTCATATAACATAAATTTATTTAATTATTTTTCTTTTCTTTTTTTCTCCATTGTTTATGAAAAATTTTAACTTCCACCAAAATATAGTCTTTTAATTATTACATATGTTTTAGCTTTTTCCCCACCGTTAGTCAACCACCAATATCACTTGTGGCGAATGCTATACATGGAGGCCTAGTTCGCATTGGTTTATGCCGAAGAACTGTTAGAAAATTTGACTTAGCAGCAGCACCAACTGGTGTAACTGTAACACTCTCAGGTGATTTACATGACATGGAAAGGAGAAGGTTAGTATGCATACTTAGGATTTATTCTTGAAAAAATATATATTCAGTGTGATTGATAAGTGTAAATGTTTATTTTGTATATTTATTGGTTTAGTTCTAATAAGGTTTAAAGTATAGAGGTTTGATGCCATAGAGTATTTCCTGATTTTATTTTGAACTCTTTTGAGACCCAGTTCTACATATCTGCTTAATCATTATCTTAATCTTAATCATCATAGTCAAAGCCTGTTCATTCTATGGTTCATTCACTATCTAGTCCATCAGCTTAACCATCTAATGACTTGAATTCTATTATTATTTACAGGTTTAATTGTTTTTATCCTTGTAATTAAATAATTTTATTTAAAAGAAAGGCAATACCCCATTACCTCAAGTAACTTATGTCACGCGTTATCTGTAAATAATAGTAAGTTTTGTTCATTCTCATATAAAATAGTCTATTATCTTGATTAATTTTATATTAACAAATAACAAATATCAATTTCCATTATTTTATTTAAGTATTAAGAGGAGTGGGGTAGCATTGTGAGTAAGGCAGTTTGCTTTTGTGCTTGTTGGCCTGGATCTGAGTCCGGCAGTGGCAGGTAAATTATTTATTCTGTTACACCATCTGTTGATCGATCCTGGGATTGGGTGACCCTTCTAGGACATATCCTACCTCCAAAAACTCTTGTTTAGATAATTAATAAAGGGAAGTGTGATCACATTTGAGTATTAAAATGTTTTATTTGAATTAAAGTTTTTTAAACATGGGGAAGAGAGAGGGAAATACTCCAATTTTCATTCTGTTAGATTGATGAAAAACAAGAATGGAAAGATAGCAAGTAAAACCCATCTCATCTCCTATTTGTTTCCTTTAGTTTGTGGTAATGTAACTTCCTCTAATATTTTGCGTTTAATATTGCAAATTTCTCATAATTAACTCTTTGGGTCATTAAAGCTGTTATTGCTGAAATTCTATGTTGATATCTGATTATTTTTCCAAATAAACAGAAGGAATATTATAATAAGGTGCAGTTTACAACAAAGGGACAGGAAACATATATTATGTCATCATTATCATACTATAATTGTGTTATAAGATTCACATTGCTTGAACCCTTTGAACATGTAAGGAACAATACAATGATTTTATAGAATGAGTGAAATATAATGCAAGATATTTTTATCAAGAGACAGTCAGCTTGTCTCTTCCATCAGTGTCATATCAAAAATGTTAAGGACATTAGCTTTTATCATCGCTCTCTATAGACTCGTCTAAAGCTGTTATGTTATTTCGATGGATAAAAAAAAAAATCAATTATATGGATGATATATATGCAATATCAATATCAATTATATGCACCCACTGCTTTCTCTTCTAATACCAGAAGTTCACTACAAGTTAATCCTCTCTCGACAACAAATTTGTGATTGACACAAAATTTCTCTTGTTATATCTTATAACTTGCTTGTTCTTATTGCTTTGATATAAACATTGATTATAATGCAACGGTCAACTATTAAATATTCAATTAAACATTGATTATGTTAGGGAAAAAAATTGTATATTGCTTCAAACTAAGAAATATATTTATACCAGAAGATACTAAGAAATACCATTCGAGAATGAACCCCATTGATGGCAAAAAAAAATTATAAGTGGGAAAACAACATTCTTGTTCAATTACTTGCAGTAAGAAACAATCTGTTCAAAAAAACTAGACTGATTATATTCATGTGTGATATTTTTCAAATTCACCTTGGGCAGTGGCAGTCACATGTATCTTGCAGATATTTCCAATTATCTAACATTTATATTTAAATATCTACAATATTTATTTAAAAACCTACAACCGATGGAGAGTCTTGGGATTGGGTTCAGTACTTGTAAGGAAGTACTGTTTCTTGGTCAACAATCCTGCAAAGTCATTTGACCGAGAACATGTTGAACTGCTAGGGTTTTTCCCATTAATCAGTTATTTTTATTAAGAATGCCCACTTTATAGAGGCTGAGTGTCTTGGGGGTTGAGAGGTAGCTCAGTGGTAGGATACTGATCTTCCAATGCTCAAGGTCCCGCGTTCCGATTCCCAGCTCATCGCAGAAAAAGTATTTATTCTGATTAATCAGCCGTGGGGTGACCCTGAGATCAGGAGACCCTTCTGGGCCACACCCAGCCTTAGTGAGTACCTTTAATTAAATAATTAATTAAGGAGGAATCTTAGTCTTAATCTTAAGCGCAATCTCATTCAAATCACCTCCTTGTACAACCGTTGACGTAGAAACAGTACTTTCTCTGAATAGTACTGAACCCAAGACTCTTCATGGGTTATAGTGGTACAGGTCAGTGTGTCTTGGAGGGTTTCCCTATTTATTAGTGTAATATGAGACTGCTATAGCTTGTCTTCTTTCTATTTATTCATTGATATTAGCCATCAACCATTTTTAAGTTTAGATATCAGCAAAACAGCTCTTTTTATTTTTTTTTTAACAGCCTCATCTTAAGCTCTCCTTTTCTTGGCTTTGTAAATTAGCATTTTGGATTACTATTAAACATTTGAAAATAAATCAATAAAAAGTTAAAAATATTGAATTCTTCAAATCCCATAAAGGTTTTTCTCCCTTCCTGTCCACTATAAACATAATTAAAACTGGAGTAAAAGTGGTATGTGAAGAAGAGAGTAGAAGAAAAAATGTGTAAATAGAAAAAGTATGTATAGGTTTCATATTTATTAAAGGTAATCAATGGTAGTGAAATTATGCACATTATTATTACTTTGTATTATGTGTGTGTGTGCATTTACATTGAATACACAATTATTGTATTTACGTATTAATCCAAGCAGTTAAAGATGCCCATTTGTACTGCCGCATAGCTATTATTTCAATTATATAGGTAATTTTGAAGGTTAATTTGAGCATTGCTTTGCCAATTATAATGGAACTTGTTATTTAGAGTGATTGTCAAGGATAATTCAGGTCCATACATCAATTCTATAAATATTGGTTTAATTACTACATTCAACTTACATCATAGCACATTATTAGAGCTAAAAGCAATGAAGATGAGATGAATGAAAGAAAGAAGAAGTTCTAAATTTACAAAGAATTTTTAACTATCATTTGCTAACTCTCATTCCTATTGAATTTATGTATTTGTTCCCTAAAAATTTGAAAATATTGATTGTTCGTTTGCAGGCAAATTGCTCTGAAGGCATTAAACGAACGACTGAGTAAAGACCAAGTACCATTACTCAAACCCAAAGAGACAATCGTACCAGTTCCAGCAATGCCTCCGCCTCCTCCTGTGACTCCTCCGAATCAGACAACTGTACAAGTGCACAATGTCATTGATACATAAAATTCTTTATGACTATCCATCCCTCTTTTGTAAATATTTGTACAGAAAAATATTATTTTATTTGATATACTTATCTCCTTCCTTCATTCCATAAAGTATTAGTGGAATAAACTATTAAATAACATAAAAAAAAAATTATGTTATAGATGCAATTTGTATACCTTCTAGGTTATTTTATTTTATTTTTTTGTTTCTCATTACGCTAGTCAAAGGAATTTATTTTATTTTTTAAATTGTATTATACAGATGTATATAAATTTGTAACGAAATATATTGTTTGTGTTTATAAAATTGTTTTTATTCTCATTTCAAAGTAAATTTTGACCATTTCATACATTTTTGGGAATATCATTTTAAATATGTGCAATTAATTGCTTTGTTTTAATTTTCACCTATAGGAACTGATTTTACATCATGTAATATAGAATATGAAATATGAGAGATATGTAAGAAAAGAAATCCCAAAAGTTGGGGGGAAGGATCATCAACTATGCCTATATATAGACGAGGGGCCGCATTGGTTCATTCCACCCAGCAGTTTGATTTGGCTAGTTACACTAACGTATATTTTATTTATGCATAGGAGAGTGGATCTGATGATATACCACAATGCCTTTGAGCTAAGTATAATGATGGCCAACATTGACAAAGGCACATACAACTTCAAGAAAGACTACCACCCAGTCACATTTCTTATTATTTGAGTACTGTATCTATAATTCCTTCCGGCTTTTATAAAACTTCTATGATTGGACAGTGACTAGTTTTATTGTTCAAAACTCTATAATTTGGCACACAGCAGAATAAGTCTCCTAGATATATTATTTATATTGCCTTTGGCCTTTTATATTTTATTGTATAAATTTTATAACTCCATGAGGCTCCATAATAGGTTGATCATTTTTTTATAGGCAGAAAGCTTTTTTTTTTTTTTCCATCACTCAATTTTCGAATAATCTTGTGAACCAATTCTTGACTTTTTGTTCTTCTTGAATATTACTTCATCAGCTGTTTGTCTTTTTAGCCAAATATCTGTATATTTTGTTTATAAAGGTCAATTTAAGAGGCTAAAAGTATTTATTACAGAATAGTTATAATAATAAAATTCATTATTTCAGAGTAATGGATAAAAAATTTTGAATTTTACTCATACTGCTACTATTTAATTGGATCTAATTTGTGACCTAGATCGCTAACAGTTATCAAAATGCAACAGAAATGATTTGATGGCTGTGCCACATTGAAGTGATGGCCACAGATTATTTGGTCCTGAAAAGAGCAATTAAACAGTTTCAAAACGACAATTTGGTGCATTATGTATTTTAAAGGAAGGAGATGTTCCGGGGTGGCGGTCATAAATAGGCTGAATAGTGGCAAAACTTCCAGTTCTAAGTGAAACTACTAGCTGAATACACCTCCCTGAAGAAGACCTGCAAAGTGGGGTCGAAACGTTGGCTTTTAATAAAATAGTTTTGCCACTATTCAGCCTATTTATGACCGTCACCCCAGACCATCTCCTTCCTTTATAATGCAACTGTCAACTATTAAATATTCAATATTACATATTTTAGTTTTGTGAAGCTTAAAAATAATTTTAAAAGTTAAATTTAGTTTGGCAATTTAATTTGTATTTCAGTTCTACGCATGTGCCAGATTGTGAAGGTTATTCTTTAGCTCGGCTTCCATAATTTTCTTATTTTTCAGAATAATCTCTGTGATTAAACATTTACAACAGGTCTGACCTACATCAGAACAGTTGATTGTGTATAGTTATAAATGTGTTAGTCGCTGTATCATTATATCAACATATCTTGTCTCACAACTGATCAGCTGTTCTCAGTTTATCAATCTTTGCTGGTGCCAGTGATCTTCAAGAAACAAAGTGAAGGTCATGCAAGCATATTCTTATTTATTTTATCTTTTGTGTCTCTCTTAATTGTATTATGATATGAAATATTACCATCAAGTCATCTCTAATAAGAAAACTTGTTCGTTTGGCTCAACACTCCGTTCTTCACCTGCCAAACAAAACCTTCTCAAACACATCCAATGACCCCATGTTAGCTCTGGAGATCATGAAACCCAGTCAGGTTCATCATCACAAGAGGCAACTGACAACCTTTTTTGTTACACCCAACCTTGCCAGGTGCTTCAGAATGAAAGAGATGTAATGTAGTCCACACTTATAACCAGAGATCTCTGATATTCATTAAAAACATAAAAAAAAAAAAAAAAAAAATCAATTACTATTTTCTCAATTTAACTAAATAACAGGCTCTGGAAGCTGCTTAAGCCTAACTAGAACTAAGGACAATAAAGTATCACCAGATACAGCCGAAAACTATAAAAAAAATGGTGAAATTTCTAACAGAAACTAAAGCGGTTTTTAATACACATCAATTATGGTAAGAGCGAGATTTAGGAGTAATTATAAGAAACCTATACCCCTCTACACCAACTGAATTATCAGAAGAAGAACTGAAAACTTGGGGTTTCAAAGTGGTGCATCTTGCCTAAGTTTATGTACTCGTTCGACATAAAATTTAATGATCTGTAATTTCTTAAAGAGTACATATTTCACTTTGATGTATCATTGAGGATTTATAGGTGAAAAATCTTACTTTTTTGGCTGTAAAAAGTCTCTTGGTGGCTCGCATTATCAATTTTGTTTTTTTTACGTGTCTAAACCCATATATAAGATTTAAAAAAGTTTTTCGCAAAGGGTTTTCTCGTTTCGATCCTCAAGTTACTGGCCTAATATTCTTTAAATCAGTTACCATTTTTGAAAACAGCGGCTTTGGAATGGCAGGCAAGGTTCGTTTTACTTAGAATAACATACACTTTCGAAATTTACAATCAAACCTCATACCAGACTGAAACGACAAGAAACCAGTCGACATTTTTGATTAGTTCAGCACTTACTAGACAAATGCTCTAAACTTCCAATTAATTACAAAAGACTCATATACATGAATATAATAAGGCCTATTTGGACTTATGGAATTGAGCTATGGGGCTCCACTAAACCACCGAATTCCTCTCGTACCCAATTCTTACAATCCAAAATTCTTCGTAAATTCCATGATGTTCCCTACTTTGTTACAAATAAAACTATCAATAATAAAACTTCAGAATCATCCCAACCCTCTCGTTTCTAATCTTGCTTCCTCTTCAATTCCTTAGAACCCTCCGAGGCATCTGAAAAGAAGATGGCCCTGTAATCTCCTAATGTAGACATATCATTAGAGTGCTTCCATTGGTTAATTTCTCAGGAAGTGTTTTCACATCATTATGTCCATATGTTCAAATTTACTAAATGTATTTCTTTAATACAGTTGTAAATATCATTAAGAAAAAAATAAATAAATAATCACACCTCTTCGCCTGCAAAGATCGATTTTTGGGCCCTGGCTCCAGGGCTTTCATTTATGAGAAAATCAAGTATGTGAAGTAGTACTTCTGATAGGTCACATTTAACAAAAAAATATGCTGTAACATCCCAGGCATTTATCTTCCTTAATTTTCTTATTTCGGTTTTGTAACACTTTTCATATACACACAGATCATTTTGTGAGACTTAGAATTTTTTATGATCGCAATTCTTTCCTCTATTGTATATTTCATATTTAAGAAAGACAAAGTTAATGCAACTATGCATAACTGAGAAAGAATTTCATGATTAACTTAAGAAGGTATATTATTTTCACTGATTGAAAACAAATTACATGATGTTTAATTTGTTTACTCTTTCATTTATTGTTTTAATTAGCTTTTATTTCTCAGTAAAAAATGGCAGCTTCATGACAATTTATTGAATTTTTAAAGATTCAAAATTTACCTTTATAGAATTTTGTTGAAAATTATGTTTGAACTGAAATGAGAGATATTCATAATCATCTGCTAAAGAGGATAAGCATTGCATCCTCTTGTTCAATTATTGAACAGCTTTTTATTCAATTTGATGGAGATACGATTTTTGGTTCCATTTGGCCCTTAGGGTTATAGGAAGAGGAGTTACATTTTGAGCTAATTTTTTTTTTGTGGTGGGAAAAAAATAAATCATCATAGTTGCATGTTTCTACAGAAAGGACCTTCACATGTTGGTAGATGGGCACCAGAGCCTGGTGAATATACTAGGACTTTATAATTAAAAGTTTGGATAGAAAATAGTAAAATCCTGAATTATACTTTTATTTCACAACCTAAAAATCATCAAAGTCTTAATCAAATAAAATAAAAAATAAATATATATGCATATATACATACATATGTATATATACATATACGTCTGTATGTATATAAGTCTATAAGCTTAGCAACAATGTTTATTATATAGAACAAGGATTCCTCTACTTCAACAATCATTAAAAAGTTAGTTGTAAGCCTTATTTTTAATAGACTAGATATTATAATCACAGAACTAAACACTTTTTCTTTATCCGACACATTTGTGTTTTTTTCTTTAGAGTCTACATAGAATATAAAGGAATACAATTTTACTGCTTTTGGCATTTAACAATAAACTTAAAATTTACATTTTTTAATCAGGAATATACTTCTTTTATGTTCAATTAATACATAGAATACTTAAAAAGAAAAGAACAATGATTTCGTAAACATCCCAGTACCTTCTCTAGAAACCTATTGTAGGATATAATATATTCTACAAATGAACCTAAAAGTAGGTTACTTGAGAACCATTGTGACTATTATCTTTTTGATGAGCAGTATGTTTGACTTTTTTGAGATTGTTAGAATATAAAAAGAAAAAAATCATTATCAATGTTTGACAAAAACTTTCTTAATAAAATGTTGGTCAAAATAACCATACACAGTATGGAATTTTGCTGTACTTCCAATAACTTCATAATTATTTCCTATAGTAAAAATACTAATTGGGAAAAATACATAAGAATTTCAATCACTTGAACATAATCAAGTGTGATAAGAACCCATCAACAATTATATTATTCAAGCAACAATAAAAATATATTTTTTTAAAAGCCAGATATAATGGATTTCTTAATTTATGTGTGTTGAAATTTTGTTCTATATAATTAGAAGTGGTAGAAATGAGTGCAGGTGTACTGGGGTGATTACAATACTGTACATTTTTCAGAACATTGGCTAATACTGATTAATGAAGTAAATGTTTATAAAATAAAATTCAGAAGAGGTGAGTTGATTCTAGTAATTTAGGAAAGCAAGGAGGAATTGAAGAAATGAAGATGTAAGTGACTGCTCAAATATGTTGAGTTGAAAATAAACACGTCATGCAGTCAACATTGTAAAGATTCTTGAAATATTTAATAATTAACTTTTTTACAAAACTTATTCTGATTCATTTTTATTTGAGAGTATGACTAAAAATTTAATCTTTCCATTAAGAAATGTATTCCAACAAACAAACATATGTTGAAATCTCTACAAAACTACATGTCTAACCTTAATTATATAAAATATATCAAAAATAACTGAAATTTTCAATAAAAAAAAAAAATTCATGGAAGAGTGACTGGAAGAAAAGTTAGATGTATAATACAATTGTTAGTCCAATTACTGAACAGCAACAAGAATAACAAATATATCAATTAGTCCATACATCATAATTAATGTAGTTTTTTTTTTTTTTTGCCAAAATTAAATTTTTTTTCTCTGTTCTACAAGTGAGAATCTTTCATTTTGTAATACCACTTTGAAGAAAAATAATAAATGATTTTCAAAGCTTCCAGACTCCAACCAAGAAAATATACATACAGAAAATATATTTAAACTCAAAACAAATTATAAATAAATTTAATATTGGTAGTCCATAATCATTTTTAAACATTTTTTCCTCACAAATTTTCTATTAAAAGCCTATTTAAAAATAAATAAAAGAATCTAATGCATTTAGGAGTAGGTAGAATGAAACGTCTTATTTAAAAAACTTAGCCTCCAAACTTTTGTTTAATTAAATATGATAGCTAATAAAAATCACTGGGTATTTCAATAAGTAAATATTTAATGGAAAAACAAAACAAACAATCATACTTAGCCAATGAAGATCAAGTAACTTTAGTAAATTAAGAAATACTGTGAGATAAATAGGCATTCATGTAATTAAGTAATTATGCTGAAGTTACGATATTTCAGCTCTTATAATTTACCAAGTAAGCTAATTAGGGCCCTAATGGTTGTCATGTAAAACAAATAAATTAAAATACTTAACCTTTTTCTAAGAGTTTTTACACTGCCAATGGAAATTGAAATGGTTATTTATTAGAAACAAATATATATCTTTTGAATGAAAACAAAAAAATTGAAATATATAATAACACTAATTTGTTAATTATGTTTGTGTCAAGATTTGAACACTTTCTACTAATTTGAAAAAAATAACTAATAAATTTGACAATTCTAATTAACAGTGGATTAAACAGGATTTTTGACTAATAGAATTTACTTTTAGAAATAAAAAAGCTTCTTAATTGATGTACTTAGTTACATTTTACAATTACTTTTTTTTTTTTATTACTTTGTTTCATTTGATGACAAAAGCTTTGGTTTAGAAAATGCAGCATAAGGCACTCTAACTAGGTGTATTACAAATTAATATTCCACTCTTAATTAATAGATGTGAATTTTAAAGTTTAAATAGAAAACTTTAAACTTAAGAGCCAGGCGATACATTAATAACATTGATCAATCAACCCCTCATTTATGATTTTTTCAAGAAATATAATACTGTTTCATAAATGACAACAAATTATGTATTATTTATACAATCTATATCTCAATAACATTTATACTTTGTGGCAATAAAAAATATAACATACAATATAAAATATATGATAATCTCACTACTTATGACTTTTCCATGATAAAATAAAATAACTTAATTGAGTGATTAGAATGTTGAAATAAAAATCAACATACAATATTTTAAAAGAATAAAATAGCATATGCTAGTTACAAGTAAGCTGATAATGAATTGATGACTAATATTGAAAGAGAGAGAGAGTATAAATCATTATAATAAAAAAAAAAAAATTGTCAAATAAGAAGGTTTAAGTTATATTTGTATACTACAAGCCGTATTTATAAAACAATAATTCCAATAGTTATATGAAGACTATACAATTACTATATTAGGAGAACTCCTTTAAAAGGATTTTAAAGTACTAAGGATATAATAAATAACAAAATAAAAATGCTGAAAAAGCTTAAAGCAATTTTAATTTTTTATCTTTTTGTTTTGTCAACTTAAATAAAACATATATCAAAAATAATTAAGTAAGACCTTACATGGGGAAGCAGTAAGCAATGCATACATTTCTTCCATCGAGTAAAAACTTAAACATCAAGTATTAGTGATCCGAAAACAAAAGAAATTGCAGTTAAAAAAATAAAGTTGACATATTACTGCAATAGAAAAATGTTGATAGCAAAAATGATAATTCTTTACAGTTAAACAAAACACTAAATCGGAATTATTTTCTGATCTAACTATACTTAGATATAACTAACTAAATAAGAAAAATAATATAAAAATACTAAATAAGATTGGAGGAACATAATTAACTAGGATGATTGTGAAGAGCAATAATTGATAATTTTTACCACAAACACTTAAATTATCAGATCAAATAATTAAAATTGATTATTATATCTTTTTATCTTCTTCCAAGAAATTTACACAATTCAAACGAGATATAAAAGAGTTTAAATGTAAAATAATAAGCAAAATTATATTTATATTTCATTTATTGAACAATGTCTAACAAACTAATAATAGAAAAAGGCTAAAGGAAGTCGTTCGGTTTAGATTTTAAAATATGATTTGAAGACAAAATTTTTGGTGTAATCAAATAATAAAAATTACATTGTTCTCAGATAAAACATAAAGTTATGTAGACATTAATTATTTTTTTCATCTTACACTTTGGATCAAAGATAACTTTTTAACATCAGTTATCAGAACGATGATCACAGAAAAAATGAGATCTAGACCTCAAAATTACATATTCATCCACTAATTTCTAAAATTATTAAATAATTAAAATTACTAATAAATATTATCATTGAGTAATAAAGCTAACTGGAAATAACTGAGCTTCAGCTTATATTTATTTCAGCTAACTGTTATTTTAATAGCAAAAATAAATACTGTAATCTTGAGCATTCAAAAAAGCAACAACTAAATTCACTAAAATGAATATTAATAAATAAATCCATGAAGCATTTTAAAACAAGCAAGTGTGATTGAACTAAATTTTTTCCTAGTTAGGGGCAACAAAATCACATATTTGAAACATTAGGAACTATTTACAAAATATAAAATGAATAAATAAAATAGTTGACCATAATGATTAGAGAGCTCCGTTAGACTTGACGTTGTGCCGGTAGATAGATTGGAGGGGGACATGTAGCAGCTCAACCAGCCTGGGATACTCAGGCTCTGTAACAGTATATAATATGGTAAAGCTCAAGAGCTCACGATAACTAACATAATAAGCAACATATGAAAATGTCTTATTTTGCGTTTGTACTGCAAAATATGATAAAGCAATACACGATTAATTGTGAATCAAATCATATAAGTATCCCAATTATCTTGAGATAATAACAAAATGAGAACAATAAAAATCATTAAATAATAGTTACCATTTTCAGGAGTAACGACACCATGTCTGATAAGGAAGTCTACAACAACAGGGCAACTAGTAGTTTTAAAATCAGTAGAAAAAAGAAGCTCCAACAACTCCTAAACAATAATAACAACAAAAAATTAATTGAATTTTACTGTGATATAAAAATAGAAACATATAACAACCAGACAAAAAAAAAAAAAAATAATTATAATGATAATGCTGGAAAAAAAAATTTCAAGGTGATTTTTATCAAATTTTGGAGACTAATATCCTTCTAAAGATCCTATTTTGCTACAACTGCCCAAACGACCATTATTCTACACTGTCTAACAGTATTCTTCTGTATTTTGATGTAAGTGCTCACTGTAACAGCATTATAATTATACTTTTATCTATCTATCTATCAGAATTATACTTTTGGTTGATGAAAAATAGACATTCTTTATATGGATAATGTAGTAAGTTTTCTTTTTATCCTGTGTCTTGTTGGTCAGTTGATTTAGTGGTGATAGTATAAAGTAAATAAGTAAATCCCATAAAAAATAACGGAGTTATAGGATTATAAACAAAAATATCAAGAATGGAAATTCCGTACGGCCATGGCTTCAATCCGCATTTGTAGTAAAAACGCGAATCCCGATAGATTCAAAAAGCGCAGAGAGGACTCGCTACCTATTCATTCAAAGTTACTTTTTAAAGTCAGCCTGAGGTAGTCCAGAGTGGACAAGAGAGCCTTTAGAAGTTTCTTTTAATGTTAAAAAATATCTAAATAGGGAATAAAGATTTTATAGAACATAAAAGTATTAAGATTTATTTATATTCTACTTCTCCACTTTAATTAAAAATTCATTTACCAAGTGAATAACTTAAATTTACAAGGTATGCATACTTGAGTGGTATTGTAAATAAGAGCTAGTCAAAACAGTTTTACACTTCGTAAAGGTCTGTCTCATATAAAATGAGTTTTTCATACCCAGGAAATACTAATTATTCATAACTAATAGAAAAATATATTTCAAAGAGTTTAATTTTTATCATTTTTACCTGAGTAGAGAGAAGCTGAAACGTATCTACTTCTCCATCATTATTTTTTGGTACAAAATCAAGTGGAAGTTCCAGATCATAAACAAATTCTGTATTTGGAAAGAGACCTTGTTCTGACTCATAGAAAAACCTAAAATAAAAGATAATATAATAATAAAAAAATAGAATCTCTTCTCAATTCTCCTAGATTAATAAAATACTGAGAACATTTAATAGATGGAATTTTGGATTATTAATTAGACCCAAGTTAAATAAATAATATCTGCGAGCTGATATCAATCAATGTTTCTGCTTTAATGCTTCTAAACACGCATACGTGTGCTCATGAGCAAAGATAAAGTTTGAAAGAATATTCAACATGTACTCACGAAACACAGCCTCCAGATGAAAGGTTTTTTAACAAATGAGATGGTATTGAGGCCTCTTCTTCTGCTTCTTTATAAGCAGTCTCCAAAACGCCAAAACCTTCAGATAAACCACCACCAACCTTAAAGCAAATATTTGATAAAAATAGGATATTGGAGATACATAGATTCATGTGTACACCCTAAGTAATAATGTTTTTCATGTATCAAAATATTTTCAACAGCATGATAAATATTATGTTAAGGCTGATCTGGCTAGGTTGGGTTTAGAAGGAGCCCTGTGGATGGAAGAATGTAGACATCGATTGGTGGTATCGGCATCGAACCTCGGGTTCGCTAAGCCTTATTATTTTTATTGTTTGCTAAGACATATTATAATAATATGTCAGGATCTTAATTTCAACTTAAATCCATTCTCATTCTTTTTTTAAAATATATAACCACTTGAATTATCTCATTAATAAAAATGATTTTATAAAACAAAAACATTCTATTAGGTAAAAATTACAAAACGTAACATACCATGTTATCCCACTTTCCAGGCCAAGTAGGCTTGGTAGTAGACCTTTTTTGAAGCCAAATACAGATTCCTCTGTCAGGATGACGCACGTACCCATTGATATCTACACCATACTTGCAGATGCCAAAAAGACCTATACAAAAGTCAATTATTAAATTATTAATAAGTTGAAACTAATTTAATATTTAACAAAATAAATAAAATATTTGCCAAATAAGTATATAACAAAAAGTATATTTAAAACTAGATGGAGCAACAGAAGAAAACAGTAATTATAATTATTTATAATGTATCAACTAAGAAATTTTGTAAATAAAGAAATATGATTACTTCATAATTCAAAGAAGACAGTTTAAACACAATAGAACTCCTGGAGTGAAGAAAATATGGACAATGTTCACAATAAACTTCAAGAGATTTTATACAAATATAATTTTACATACAAAAAAATTAATAAGTTAAAAGTTATGGAAATTTGATTTAAAGACATGGTATGGTAATACAAATACATAAAACAAATATTATACACAAACAATATTTGAAAAATAACAAGGAATTACTAACGGATTTATAAAGTTATATGAAGGTGAGACAGTTGGTTAACAGGCAGAAAATCTAGTCCTGGATAAAAATATGAGAATAAAATGTTGACAAATTTTTAAAATAATGATGAATTAACATTAAAAATTGTTTCTTCTCTATTAAAAAAACCATAAGTTACTACTAAGATTCTGTAAAAATTGGACTTCAAGAGAATAAGATTCTTAAGTATTTATAAATCATCAAATATCATGAATTAAGAGAAACAAACATATTGCTATAAGCTAGTGAGAATGATGCGTAAGTTTTCTTCATTATGAGAAAGTGAATGTTTTGTAGATGTTCATAAATGATATTTGTAAATGGGTGATTTCTCATTTAACATGCAATTTTTCAGTCCAAAATAATTTTTACTCAATTAGTATATTATATATTTAAAAATAAATTATCTGTTTGATTTCTTTCCCTCTCATAAATAATGATGTAAAATTACTTCCAAATGAAATATTGAAGAACGATTTTATCATGTAATTGCTGCAGCTACTGAAATAGGTACTAGTTCACAAGAGTTCCGAACGGATTATGCGTGGTTCACAATCACTTCGATCACACTTGTTCATGGAATCCCGAAAACAGCCGAATGTTGCCGTATTTTATGATGTCAGCTATTGCCCCATCCCACAACACCTTTTCATGCATTTTTGAAGAAAAAAAAAAAACCAACATGGAACTTCCTTATTAACAATTTATTAACGAATTATGTATTTACTGATTTATCAATTATTAATTTTTATTATAACGTTTATCACTGTGAAAGAAAAAGAAAAAAAATACATAAAATAATGTTTGAGTCGTTTCTTCAAGGCCTGTTAAAAAAAAAAAATGCTTTTAGAAATAACATTTTTATTGACACGTGCTTACATGTAGTGGCTGTAAATACACATATACTGTATATTATCTTTTTAACTGTGTATAAAAGATTTTATATCATTTGGATAATAAAAAAATTGAAGTAATCCATTATCTTTTTATTTGTTATTCGAGTTTTTCAATAGAAGTTGGAATAATTGCATTTATAATTTATTTTAGCAAGCCTTTTTTAGTTTGTCATCTATCTAGTTTATGTAATTTTTTTGATTTCTAATAATAATAGCATCCACTATTTTCTAGTGAAGGTAAATCTGCTCCTGCTACATAAATGAACATGATTAAGGTTATGGAAGTACTTAAATGGCGGGAAAGTTAATAGTAACTGGCCCAAGAGATCGGTCGCCTTCATTCTCTTTCGGATAAACCCGAACGCATTCGGGATTCCAGGAACAAGTGTGACCGAAGTGATTGTGAACCATGTGTAATCCCTGCGGAACTCAGAATTTCCTAAAAAAACACTTGTTTTAATTTTTAACCTATGTTAAATGGTACTGAAATTTATTTCCAATTGTAAAGGATAACTTAAGCATTCTGAATATTTTTTTCTCTTTCATTTATTGTTAAAATTGAAGTATGGTTGACACGCCCTTGTCTATTGCCTATGTCATAAGACATTGAAAAATAAGGAAAGAGTGGAGGAATATTTTCATAAATCATTTAGCCTGGAGCTAAAGGAGCAGGCACCAGTCTATAAGATACTTCAGCAGTCAGGAAGCTTACTGTACCACCCTTGTGAGTTCCAGTGGTTTGTAGTCATTGTTTTTACAGGTAAATGCCATTACTATCACGTCAAGGCTGTGTTTTTACCATGTCCAAATATGTAAACTATGTATGTAATTGAGTCAAATATAATGTAAAGGCAATTACCAATAACTATTTAAATTAGTTTTTACATACATTTAAAACATTTTGGATTAGATAGCTTATATAATTTATTTATTTAAGGCTGTAGTGTATACAGATCATCATTTATTTCCTTATTCCAGATCTTAAAAAGAAATATATCAAATTCAAGCTGGCATTACCCATTGACCCATTTAATCTTACCAACCCTTTAATCTTACCCCCTCCAAGGAGCAGTAATTTAATTTCTATCTTTCTATCTTATTTTAATGATTATTATTTGAGTAATAAGGTATATTGATGTTAGAATAAATGATGATTGGTTGCTGTAAATATTACGACATAAATGTTCCCATTTGGTTTACAGTTCCAGTGTTAACTTCAGAATTTTTAACATAAGTTAAATAAATAGCGATCAGCCAATGTCCTTACAAAACTAACAAGTTCAACCACTTAGAAATGATGGTGGAAGACAAAAAGAAAAAACACCATTTTATCATTATTTCTCCATAATATTGACAACACAATCCAACCCAAGACTGTCAAATTAAATCTCATGGATTCATAAATAGGTCAATAAAGCAAACAAAAACTGTATTCAAATATAACTATTAGTTTGAGAAAGTTAATCTAAACTAAAAATAATACAGTATTATAGATCAGGCACTGGGAGCGGTGGATCCCAATTCTGAACTTAAATTCCTACAACTTTAATAAGTTATTTAAAAAGTAAAAGGTTTCAAAACTCTGAAGTTGGTAAGTCGATCGATCAAGATGTGAGAAATTAAATTTTAAGGATTTCAACATTAGCATCAAGACCTGAGTAGATTCCTTTGGCCTTGAGTAATGTCTTCTGATAAGTTTAAAAAATTTAAATGTTTGCTTCACAGGAAGATTTGAAAAATTGTTTGAAGCAGCTTACATAGTCTAACTACTTTGAGACTTTAAAAGAGGAGTAATTACTAAATGCTTTTGTTCTGCAACACATGACGATGTTGAAGCATAGTAAGAGGTGGAGGAGAGGTAAAAGAAAATAATCTTTATTAAGGCACTGATGCTACTTTGTGATTAGTCCCAATAATAAAATAAGAATAAAAAGAAATAAATTTAAATAAAATGATTGGCATTTACTTCTAATCAAGATTAAGTCCAAATAAATAAACATACAATACAAAAGTCCAAAGAAGCACACACTTAATAATAATAATTAAAAATGGGTGGATCCATTCCAAATCATCAGCATGCCTTGACTGTATTTTGGGCAATATAGTTATTTTAAATAGTGGGATGTTATACATGAATGTGTAACAAAACATTAATTTTAATAAATAAGTTTAAGTTTATCAGTTATAACTTTATTTTATGGATGATTACTTTCATATTAATTCCTTATTACATTCATAGTAATTTCTTGAATTGGCAATATCATTTCAGAGTAGTATTAAATTAAAAACTTTTTAACAGAACAAATTACAGATATTCATTTGCTAGTCAAGTCAAACAATAAATAAATAAAATGAGGAAGAAACTACTCCTGATTAAACTAAAGAAATCATGTGATAAATACTGAAAATACAAGACATACAATATATATAGAGGAGACTGACAACAAAAATTGCATTTGATTATTTATATACAACTATAAGCACAATTAAATCTACAACTGCAATTCAAGTTTTTACAATTTGCAATTGAGAAGAAAGAGAAAATAAAGTAGAAATGATTGCTTGGGAACTATAGGATTAAGGCATTATCTAATAACGCATGCACGTTTAACTTAACAAAATAAACTATGTCATTGTGCATAGCTTATTATGCATAGCATAACTTAGCATAGTCAAAATAGCTTCAACTTGACATTAAACTTTATTATCAAGCGAAAATATTGCAGTAAAGCTACATATAATAACAGAAATCAACTTAGTCCACAAATAGAAAATTAAAAAAATAAAATAAAAGAGTACTACTAATAAATTTCGTTTTTCTCACCGAACTAATCAATTAAACAACAAAGTTAATACAGCTTATTAGAGATAAGAATTATAAAAACTTGAAGAATTTGATTAACTCAGATTTAAATAATTAATTATACTCATTAGATTCATAATAAAAACAAGTACATTAGTAGTACTCATAAAAGCTCTTCTAATGAAACATAACTTTATTCTCATATTAAGCTTTGCAAAAATAAGATTTTTTCAAGCAGAATTCTCAAGTCATGACTTACACGTTGCCGATCTGTCCATTTTCAGAAGCGGCTCAGACGAAAATACCGGTCTTATCTCATAATACTGGAAAGAAAATCAAAGAGAATTACAAACGTAGTAAGTAATTATTAAGGAATCCTGCAACAACCGAAACAAGAATATAGCAATTTGAAGGGCATATAAAATGCCATGCTTGCACCTCCACACAGGAGTGTTCAGTAACTGAAAAATAAATTAGTAAAATGCTGCAACTAATACTCACTTCATCTCTCCATCCATTCAAAGCAATAAAAGAATTATTTTGACGGCATTCCATTAGTACACTTTCAACTTTTTTGGTTCTTTCATTGTAATCTCTGAAAGCTGGATTAAGCACAACAGAATTTGACTTGATTTCAAACACCTCTGGATATTTTTTCAACAAATCAACAAAATCCATTCTTACAAGTCCAACTTGATGACCTTCCACTATAAATGGTTTACATTCATTTTTTCCCTGGCCTTAAAAAGAAAAAAAAAAAAAGGAAAAGTGTAAGTAAAAAAGAATAATGGTTTTACAAATTAATAAAAACCATCAAATACTTTACATAGGTTATATAAAAAGTTAAAAAACAAACCTTCCAGATAAAACCGATTGAATTTGTGTGCTAGTTTTACTAGCCTAGGAACTAAACTCAAATTTTTGGAATAAACTTTTTTATGCATTCCGGCAAGTTAGTTTTACTAGTTCATATTTAATAACACCATTCTTCTGTGTTCGTAACAACATATATTGCGTTTATCAACCTAGTTTATCAGCAGTAGAACGGGCAGATAAAGTTGTTTTGATTTATCAAATGACATTTTGAAAGCCATGCCAAACCCAGAGAAACAATCACGGTATCTAAAAGTGGAGATTCAAATGGCAGTGCAAAGTGATAACAACATGAGTGAAGGGGGTGTTTTGAATTTGTATCCTTTAAATAGTGTACTTTATGATTTAGTTAAAGAATATATATTATGTGTTTTATAGTAGTTGTCTGTAATTAATAATACCTTCCTGAGGTAATATTTTAGTTTAGTTTTAAATGATTGTATTAAGCATGTTCGTAGTTATACACTTTCGTAAACATATTTTTGTGAACATTTATCATTAGAACTGTAAATATCCCTTTTTCAAACGAGGAAGAAGCAAAAATTGCCTACGACTCTCTTCGAGTAGATCCTGAACCCAAAAGGGGACAATGTACTAGAACTTTGAGCCAAGAAAATAATTTTTTGATTGCGTAAGTAAATAAATTCCATTACTCCTATTACTAAGATATTTCATTATTACATTTGCTGTTTCTATGTTTTATTTTATAATACTTTCAATTACTTTAATTGAGTAGTCGGTAATGTCTTTAAATTTTATAACCTAACATTTACCTCGCATGGGAATGATAATTTGTAAATTGACTTATAATAACTTTGTAATCATCTCTACGGGTGCAATTCAAAAAGAATTTGCCACAATAAATATTTTTATATGTAAGCAATTTATTCTAATGTTAGTTTATTAATGATTTTAATTAATACAATTCGATTTGAGATGGCTGTGATGTTACGTGTTCACTATCTGGGAACCCTCATGTCATGTTGGGCATGAAGGTTCATGTGGAACTATCGGTCGCCAGTTGACCATTTCACTCCCCCCAGATTTTGTGAGGGCTACTTTTGTGGTTTTTTCTTATCATGATGAATTCATATTGATAAATTAATGGTGCCAATAAATTAAAAAAAAAAGTTCTATTTTTTAAATATTTCTGACTTACCATGGTATTACTGGAAAATGATGTAGTAAGTATTAATATATGATATAGAGTGATAAATATACTTCATAAAAATTAATAACAATGTTTGGTAGTTTTTGTATGAACTCACCAAATTGTTCGTGCAAGCAAGGGAGTCTGGTTCTGTCACTTTAACCATGAAAAGATGTAAGTAGTATACATTTTCTTAAAATACAACATTATTTAAATGTTCTGTTGTTTGATATTATTTCTCTGTTTAGATGATGGTAGAGATAGACATTTACCTAAGGATGGTAGTAAAAATCCTAAACCTGAGGAATATATGTGCTTAATTCGTGCCACTTTATCTAAAAATAAAATTTCAACTGTTGTAAGTAAAGGTTATACCTCATTTTTAAGTTTTAAGTAGAATTTATGTAAGCTTGAAAACACCTTTATATTTGTTTATTTTTACTAATGGCATCGATTACTGCCTTTTATCCCTATTTTAATTTTAATTGGTAATTGCTAATCAATCACTTTAATACATTGCTGTCATAACTAAATTTTTTGAACGTATAAATTGCTATGTTGATATGTTTTGAGTTTTTTCTAATTATATGCGACAAATAGAAATTGACTTAATTTGTGTTATCTGGTATTGTTTCCTGTTATACTTATGTTAATGTATTGATTGTTCGATTCTGAAATATATTATTAGATGACCCGCAGTCTGTATAGTCATATTTGTTTAACTAATTGTTCTTTTTTTTGTTTATTTTCAGGTTGAGGCAAAAGATGTACACAAATTCCAACAAGCATATTGCAGTTTATTACGAGGAAACATGGATGGATTAAAAAAATTAAAGAAAACAAAAATGAAATCAAAGACCACTTAATTAAACATTATTTCTTTCTTGCTCATTAACAAATGTCTTACAATAATTGCGATTTATAAATTGTAATTCATTTGAATATATGTTGAGATAATTTGTTAGGTTGTGCCTAAAAGTGATTTGAAAAGAAAGAAGAACAATTCTGATCGAACTGTTAATTGATGGATAATCTAATTTTTTTTATAGGAACTAATTTTGTTTCTTTATAATAATCTAAATTAAGTCATTAAGTTTTCAATTTTTTTTTTTTTTTTTGTCATTTTGTTTGTAAGTAATTTTTTAATATATTTTTGTCATGTTTTCTTTATCTGTCATTTTGTAAGTAAAACAAATAATTTTTTATGAAGTCGGTTATTCTTATTTAATAGTTCCTGGGCTTATCTCATTAATTTGTCTTAAACATGTTATCACAATATAAGAATAAACATAAGTGTTTTCTCCAAAATGCAGGCTAAGGAAAACCCGTCAATATTTTCCTTTTCTGTCCTGATGATGGCTGAATTGGTGAAACATTGACGCGTTTTTCTTTGCCTTCATTTTGGAGACATAAGGCTGTGTTTACCTAACATTTGTGTTCTGCCTCTTGAATATTTTGTTACTAAGTTTTTTTTATAGTTGTGTGGAATTTTTTTTATTATACATATATTTACACACACTTGAATATACATATGTATGTAAGATGTGTGTGTGTGTGAATAAATCAAGAACATGTTAAATGTCAAAGCAGTTCTTTAACATGTATCTAAATCATGTTTCATACATTCAATAAAATATCTAAAGCTTATTTTCTATTAATGCTGTCTAATTTTTAATTTTTTGTTGTTTAATAAAAAAAAAAATATTTATTTGCATTCTTTAATAAAAATGATTGATTACTTAACTAGAAATTCATATTTTATATCTACTTGAAAGTGATTTTAAGAGTTCTCATAGTTAATTAAGTATTTGAGAAAGTGCTCATGACTTAAATGAGTTTAGTAGTACCATGATATTAATAATAACAAATGTAAGAATACTAGGTGAGATTATTTTTGTATGACCATTTGGTGATGGAACAATTAATGATTTCTTTAAAGAATATTAAACATTATATTAGATTATAAATCATTTTAAAAAAAATTATTTCGGTTTAATGGCTTCCTTCAAGTTTATGCTGTAGCTAGTAAAGATTGAAGATCCTTCTGATTGCTATTAAGGTAATTTTATAAATATAAAATTGTAATATACCTATCTATATGTTTGCCGAAGTGTGAAACTGCGTAAGTTCAAAACATTAGGATTTAGGATTATTCTATTTTTGCGTGAATTCATGTGCAGCAATTGATTGTTTTTTTTTACTTGATAATAAATCAATTGTTGGGACATACTATTTAAAAAAAAATCCCTTAATATGATGATGAGGATTCAATATTTTACTTAGTTCACAAGTTAACTGATGGTATGTGTACATTTCTAGATTGATTAATTAGTATCTGGTACAAAAGGTTATTTCTTAGACTGGTCCACCTCTGGCAATCTTAAATGATTTTGTCATTTTTATCTAGGTTTTTTTCACAATTAACATTTTTAATCAGCATGCAAGTCTGTTACTTATGTTTTTCATCCACCTAGTAGAAGAGCACTGTAGAAAGGAGGCATCTTCCACCCAATATTTCTGTAAATTTATGAGGAAAAATCAACCCCACTTGGAATAAATAAATTTTGAAAAACTTACTAGCTTTTTAGTGCCGGGATGGAGGTTTTTATTCTAAGTTATTTTGAATTTGGCTGTCTTTATTTTCATACGAATCGGTATCCATAGCATGTTCTATATATTAATCAGCCTTGTTTTATATTTTTCTTACCCTCCCTGTTAAAGGAAATTTCTGATGTCATTGAAGTTGTTATTATATAGAACAGTATTAGTTTTAGTTTTTTGTATCACTGTTTTCATATTAAATAAGCTGTATTGAGGTATCAATTTTAAATGTGAAATCTAGAATTTATATTTGGATTTATTATGTGATTGATTCAGATTTTTTAAATACAATGGAATAACTAATTTCCATATTTATATTTTAAACTATAGGTTGTATAAGGGTGTACAATTATTTGTATAATATATATCTTGGTTTTTGCTCTGCAATATATTTATTTTTGTAACCTTGAATAGGTGAAGAGTGGGTTTGTTCCTTTTTTTTATTTTCTTTAACAAAGTCGTTTCTGGATTTTCTCTGATTCAAGATATGTAAAATTATTTCCCTCTTCCCATAAAAAAATAATGTAAATCATGAGGCATGATTTACATTATTTTTTTATTCCTTTTATTTATTTTAACGAATTTGTTATTATAACCATGGGAGGTGATAACAGGAATTTTAATTTGTAGAAGCATAGATTAGGTTGGAGTAAATCATCTAACCTCAGCTTGCTCTGTGAACCATAATCTCTCCAATATCTCATTTGAGTATTAATATTGATATAGCCGAAGTAGAGAATTAACCATCCTGATGATGGAGGTCAACATCAATCATAGGAAAAGATTCATACTCATTAGATGTAGAACAGGAGCAAAGCCTGCACTACAGTTAAAAATGGTTGACAAAGTCTTATAATATTAATGTTCGCTTAACAAGCACATGATTTGGCCATGGTCTATCTAGAATGGAAGATGTCATGGCTCATGTTTAATGGATATTTGGATAAACTAGGAAGCCAAAAGGGGCCATTACCTAAAAGGATGTCTCTAGACCACTTAAGTTTAAAAGGTGTTTGTGGTCACTAGCTACTCAATGCCTGGGTGCATGAACTAAGTTTTGCAGGAAGGCTAAGCTTATAGTTTGCATTATATGCTAGTTTGTCATATATTGGCCTACAGGCAAGAATAATTGAAATTATAAAATTAAAGTAAATAGTTTCCTTTCGTTGAGGCCAATTTCGCAGTGATGTTTCCCCTGACATTTTAGAGTTCCTACCTCCATCTTAAATGAGCTCTTTTTGGATTTTGGTTTGCATTATCACCCCAATTCACAGTATATGTAATTCGGCTTATGATTTTTTTTTTTTCTGTCCATCATTTATTACTATATTTTAATGAAAATTTGACATGTTTTATCTAATCATTATTAATATTTTAATATAAAACAAATTATATTAATACAATTTTTTATTTTTGCAGGAAATTTTCTGCTGTTGAAGCAAGACATTTGAGAGTCAGTGCAACTTCATTCTTTGACTTGATAATCCTGATTTCTCAAACCATTGAACAATTTTCTATTTAATAATGGAACTGGACGTACCTGCAAGTTCACCATCTCCATCACCTAGTCGAGCAAATTATGGATTCACTTTGTATTTAGCCTCCACTACTGCTTTCTATGTTTTTCTTACTTGGTCCTTAATGCCATCTCCTTTTTTACCTTATTTCTATTTTCCTCAATTTTATTGGGCTGTTGCCATTCCTATATTTTGTTTAGTAACACTTGCATTAGTTGGCCTCCTGTTATACCCAGCTTTAAATCTTTGCCTTACTCCAGCACCAGAAGAAAGATGTGTATTGATTGATTCTTTTTCATTAAATGAACCTCCTTTAGAGGATAGAGAAGTACCTCCTATGTATGATATTCCTATGACTAGGGTTTCTAGACTTTTGTACCTTGATTAAAATTTTGTAAATAAAAATACTTTGTTTTTATTGAAAGAGATCTTCAAATTAATTCATATAGGAATCATTGTTACCTACTTCCACTTAGATTTTAAGGTTTGTAACAGTATTTTGCTAAATTTTTTTGTTATACCTAGTCCTATCATAAATATTGTTACAAGAAAATATATACAGATTTCAACAGAAAAATTCATTTTTTCAAAAACTTTGTTAGAAAAAAAAAAAGAGGAAAATACAAAAAAAAAGTAAAACAAGAGTAAAAAAAAAAAAAAAAAAAAATACTCAAAATCTCCTGCTTTTGCCTTGACACAGGCATTTAATCTCCGTGGCCAGTCATCAATAGCAGCATGCAACTCTTCTTGAGGAGAGCACTCAACTGCTCGGACCAGAGATTGTTTGAGGCTTTCCAAGTTAGGATGTGCTCTATGGCATGCCATCCTATCCTCTTCGGATCTAAGCCGATAATCTAGTGGGTTGAGATCAGAGTCTCCTGAGGGCCAATCCGAGGCAGAGATGAACTCTGGAATGTTCTTTTGCAGCCACTGCTGAGTTGACCTGGTTTTGTGAGCTGGAGCGGAATCCTGGTGGAAAACCTAATGATTTTCAGCAAACAGAGTATCATTTAGAGGCTTGACAACAGGTTCAAAAATATCGTCCTGATAGTTTCTAGCGACTGTTTTAACACCTTTTTCACAAAAATGGAGCTTTGTGGTGCCATCAAAGCAAACTCCCCACCAAACCTTTACCGAGGAAGCGTGATGACCTCTTTCCACTCTTCCAATAACTTCCTGTGCTTCTTTAGACGTGTGTGCAAACACACGATCATTTTGGCAATTAAATTTTTCTTCAATTGTAAAAATTTTCTCATCGCTAAACAAAATCTTTAGATGAAGACAGACCATTGGTGTGACGGCCAAGGAGCACTTTGCATCTATCCACTCTTTTTTTTTATTAGAGTGCTACCATCGGTTAGTTACTCAGCAAGTGTTTCCACATCATTATATCCATATGTTCAAATTTACTTGATGTATTTCCTTAATACAGTTGTAAATATCATTAAGAAAGAATACATTTTTTTTAGGGAAGTGGTTAGCTTTTGTCCTGTCATCCTTCTAGGGCGCCAGTCATTTGGAAAATATTCAGAAAGACTCATTTTTTCCAAGAATTCTAATATCGTGACAAAATGCAAGATTTTCACTTGTATGATAAAAAGTAATTTTGGTTCCTTGTTCCAGTAAATGTTTGTCATTCAACCTGGGAGTCTGGAAGTGATTCAGAAGCTTTTGACAAGTTAAGATGTCTAATGAGGTCATTTAAAGCATCCTGCTTGAGATGTGTTGCCATCTCATAATCACCCTCAACTTCATCAGTACAAGAAGGGTGATTATTGGGACAATACTCGTCCTTAGAAAGCTTGTTGAATTAATGCTTCAGGTTGGCTTGGGTAATGGTACCTAAAGTAGTAGTCCTTTGTTCATTATTGTGTGATGTTTATGTAGAGGAATAATGGTGTTTTGTGAGTTTGTTGTTTAGATGGTGTAAAAATTTATTAGCAAAACCTCATTTGTTCCTGAATTTATTTCTTAATATTAAATAGTAGAAATAGAAACAGAAAATAACTTTATTCTGGGACAAAGTCCCTTTAGAATAACAAAATAGTATCTAATTAAAAGACTACATCTGGCCAAAATAAAACAACAATAAAAAAAGTTATTAAATAATAATAAATAGTGGCATCCTTTTGAGGGAAAGATAAGGATAACGAGTGCTGAAAAGTTGAAAACTGACAAATTAGAAAGAGCTCAGTGAAGAAGATTATTTACAACTTTAGCCTCATCAATTGAACAGAAAATAGCTAAAAATGCTCCTGAGTTCAAAAATGAATTTGGAAAGCAAGAACTAAACATCTAACAGAGCTCGAGAAAAAGGTAAGAGCTTTAATACTAGTGGATGATAATATTGATCAAAAAGAACTAGAGGATGAATTCAATACATCCATAAATTATCTGGATAAGTGGATAGAAATAAATACTAAATTTGATGCTTCTGTTGGGCTTCAAATACAACTTGCCATGATGATATTTCGTCAAATACCAGTTTCTCAAGAAAGAAATACACATGATTCCTTAAGTTGCAGCTAAGCAGTTTACTGCTGATGTCAAAGAATGGGTGGGGTTTTGGGCTCAGTTCAATAACATTCATGAAGATAATGAACTATATCCAGAAGACCAATTTCAGTATATCAACCAATCCACTAAGGAAGGTTCTAAAGCCAGGAAATTTATTGAAAGGTTTCCACCTTCAGGGGAGAACTATCTTTCTGTTGTTGATGGATTCCAAAGAAAATTTGGGAGAGAAGGCCTACTAAACGAGGTTTACTCGCATGTATGCTAGAGAATTACTGGAATTGGTTTTATAAGGCAAGTTTTTCGTTTCCTTGGTACATTTTCGGTAGGTTTTAGGTTTCTTTTGAAAGCCTCTCTTAACCGAGCCAAAAAATTTTGCAGTATCCTCTATCCCAAATATTTCTTCCCAAGTATTTAAAACTTTCTACCTGCTCAAAACTCACCGTTGACCTTAAATACCCTCTTAACACAGGTTTTCTTCCAATGCACATGCATTTCGTCTTCTCAGGGTTTATTTCCATATAAATTGCTCTTAATTCTTCCTTTAGGGCATTAATATTGTTTTGGAGGTCACGGTCATTCTGGGTCAATGTAACAAGGTCGTCCGCAAACGCCAGCAGAGATTATAGAGTAGGCTGCATATCTCTGTGTCCCAACAGTAATGTAAAATGCAATCGTCCTCTTCTGAAAGATCTTCCTCTACAGCCTGGGTATCACTTTGATTCAGATCTGTTCCTTCCAGCAGCTCTTTAAAATACTCTTTCCATCTCTCCATTATCTCATCATCCAACCAGATAATGTTTCCATATCTCCAACTAATTCTTTTCCATGTAGTGGGTTCTCTCCTTGTCATATTCCTCAAGTTCAATCCAGCTCTAATGTTTCGTTTGTTTGTGATAAGAGTAATAGGTTATCAGTCCACTGCCGCTTGTCAGGCGGAAGGGCTGCCTCCTTAGAGCATCCTGACCTGCTCGTTCATCCGAGGCGACTTCCTAGGTTAGGTGATCCTAGGGTGTGTAGTGTCGGTGATCTTGTGTCAGTGTGAGTGAGTGTTATATTGTTCGAGGTGTACTGTTAGTGCAGTGTACTGAACTCTGGGTCCCGGAGGATCGCCAATCTTCACAAGCTGCGCACTTCAGCTAGCCTCTACGGGACTAAATTGTGTATAACATACACTGTAAATAACCCTGTAGATGAACTTGCAATATTCATCGTTTCTGTTTAATTCATGATATTAATACATGGAAAGCTTATCTAATCTTGTTTTTGAACTTTGACTTGGGAATTAAAAGTATTTATCACTATTAAGCGAGAAAAATCTTATTCAAATTCAAGAATGAACCACGATATACCGAAATATAGATGAAAAAGAAATAACATGTAAATTCAAAAGATTTTGACTGTTAAAATTGAAGTTTACCCGTGAAAACATAGATACCTATGATAAAAATAATTAATGATGATAATAATCTAAGCTGAAAGAAAATATCGAAGGAGGAACGGATACTATAAGTCTGGAACACAGGGCTGATCTGTCCTACCCTTAGAAAGGGCAAATAAATTCGAATTAATTGGTGGAATGACTGATGTAAGAAGCTTTATTACCTAATTTATGTAGGTGCTAACTTTGCTATGTAATGAATCTAGATTGGTTCAGAAGGTTACACAACGCCGAATTGTGTGAATTGTAAACAGTTAATGAAATTGAGGTGATTACATTGCGGCGAATTAAATGGACTTGTAAAATTGTTGGATTTAGAAACGAAAGAATTCCTAAATGGTTAATATCTGCTGTACTGACTGGAGAGGTAGATTGAAGCGAAAGTGGGAAGATTGCGTTAAGACTGATCTGAATGGACTGGGTTTGGACGGTGACCGGAGTGTAGACAGCGATTAGTGGTGTCGGTATCGAACCTTCAGAACTAAGCCTTTTATTATTAGTATTAAAGAACCTAGAATTGGTTTATTATTATACTGATGGAAGGTCAATCCTTTTTCGCTACGCTTCACTTAGTTCTTTTGAAATCCCAACCAAAATTTGGTTCATAGTTTTATTAAACTTCATACTATAGAACTCTTCCTATAGAATCTATTGGCTTCTTTACTATAGAATTCTTATTTTGGAAGTCAGTATCTACCGTCTGTTTGTTAGCTCTTTGTGTTCAGCGTATTGATTGTCAAGCTTAACATAAACCAAGTGTATATGTCTTCTCTAATCAATAATCATAACTTGAAGTAAAAATTTAATACAAAATATAGGGTTTAAATTGTTTTTGATAAGCTTTTGTAATAAAATTGCTTAGTAATTATAATTTATGACCCCTCAAATAATGTATGAAGTACAAGGTATGTTGGTTACGATAATTTGAATAGTGTTTCCTCACAGAATTTATTTGTAATTTTCCTGATCCCACAAATAAAGAATTAATGCTATTTTAATAAATTATATTGAAATGAAATTTCTTGAACTAATTCCCCATTACTTATATATAATATTATGATTACTTTTTGATAATCAGGGATAATATTTTTCAAATTAGTAATTTTTAAATGAATGATTTTGTCTCTCAAATATTATTTTATTTTCTAAATAAATTATTAATTTGTCTCTTTTTTTTTTTTCTATTTTTCAACCTGACCTATTACGCCATCCCTTCATTTTACTATTAGAATTACAAATTTTTAGAAGAAGATATTCTTTTTCTAAGGGATAAAATATATATAATAAGAAATTGTGGTTGACATCATATCGATAAGTCATAAGAGCGATGTTATGTGCTTATGATCATAGTTATTTATTTTTTATTTCTTGATTAAGACTAGAGGTTGTAGTAATGTAATGTTCACTATTGCAGATGAGTGGGAAACTGCTTGGCCTGTTGAAGTGAAACTGGTTACAGATGATTCTATATGCAGTTTATCTGAAACAGGTACAATTGTAATGCAGACGTAACTATTTATGTTTATGTTGTTTATAGTATTCCTGGTACCAGTTAACTATCTTCACAATGTTTGACTGGTGGACCAAAAACACTTTGATCACATTATAGATGGAATTATGAAAGTAGCTATGTTAAAAACAAAATTTGTCGATGGGCTCTCTAGGCTTGCTCAAGTGAAAAATAAACGCCAAACAAGTCCTTTTTAATATACGAGAGGCCCTAAGATTGGTTGTCACTGTTTGCTTTTGGAATTCTTGGTATAGTGTGATTGATGTGAGTAACACTTGCGAAGTAGGATATATTCCTCCTATTTTGTGTTAGGTGCTATACATTTGTTAATGTCTGTTCTAATCCTAAATAAAATAGGACTAGATTACAGATGTTTAACAATTTAATTATTGATGGGTATTACAAAACTTGTAATATCCCTGTCTCACGATAAGTTTATTTTTATTTTACAGATATATTGTAAGTTTTCATAGATATTTTTATATTTTTTACAAACATTTCAATGACTTAAATCTAATATGAAGATTAGGTTACGTACGTGTTTAAACTACATTTTTGTATTTATAACATTTAAAGTTCCAACTTTGTTCTTCAATCTATTTATTAATTCTTGAGACTCCCAACATTATTGTCATTATTGGATTATTATAAAACTATATTAATTAATTTTGCATTTTAAAGTTATGAATTTTTGTTTGCACTTCAAGATTACTCCATGATCTGGAAGGAAAACACAATTAAATAATGTCGATATTAATAAAGGCTTACAAATACGTTGAGATTTTACTATCACTTTAACGACAGATATAGCCATAACAGTAACTTTATCAGACTCTATTGTTGTGTGAAATGTATTATCAACTGTCGTACTGTTAGAATTATCATGGCAATATTATCTCACTATTAGGTATCATATGATGATAGCATCTGTTGCAGCATTGGTCTGCTGTTGCAACGTTTTGTTAACTGCTACATTTATGCACCATAGCAGTGGATTGTCGCATTACATATTTAATCCAAAATTTTGAAATTCATTTATTGGAGGAAGAATCAAAACTCTATAGTTTCGTTTTTTATAAATGTGTTTATAAACCCATTAGCATTGTGTGCACGTGATATGAATGCACAACCTAAGGCATATCAACAATTACCTGCCTGTAAGTTTTTAAATTAGAATTCCTCTTAAAACTCCTAAAGAAAGGAGGCAGGAATCAGAATTAAAAAAAAAAAAATCTATATTAGATGATTCATTAAATAATGTGGCTAATATGCTAAAAGAAGTCGCTTTGTGGACATTTTATACCTTTGGATTTATGATGTTGAATTTGTACTCATGTTTCACAATTACAAAAAATTCCTCTGATGGAAGCATTTTCTTGTCTGTATAATTTTGACAATAATAATTGAGTCATTTGCAACCATTTCTAAATTCTTTGTTATTAGAAATTTCCATGCTGGTCTGTTTAGCAACAAGACATTTGTTCTTCTATCATTCTAAGGTACAGAATGAGTTTTTTTCTTGATGATCAATTTGTCTGATTTGCAAAATTCCAAATGCACCTATGGATTGTCTAGAATACATGGCCTTGATTTGAATAGGCTCTAACTGCATTTACTATTATTTTGAGAAACAGAGTTTCAGAATTACAATATACTGTTCTATGAATTTATTGTTACTTCTTAAACCAGTAATTTTGTTTGTACAATACTTTGAAGCAGTAAACTTATATTTGGACTCATCAATGACTTAATTTTATCACTTATTAATATAATTTTGAATATAGAAATTTTAGTTAGAACTTTTTCATTCCAGTATACTTTCAATAATAAATCTTTGTGATCAGCTAAGAAGAAATTCTCCTAAATTTGAGTCTTAATTTTTTACGAATATATAGAATATGCCTATAACAATATCTGTATGTTCCAAAAATATAATAGACAAATAAATCATTCAATATAATCCATTTTTTGTGTTAATTTTTTTTATTAAATTTCATTATATTCTTAATCTGCCAAGAGAATATAAATTACATTAAAATTTGAGGTTTAAAATTTCTTGGAGGGTAGGTAGAATTAAAAAGTTGAATGGAATAAAAACATTTAATTTTTTTTAACATATTGATTTATGAAATTATGTTATCCTTTTTAGGTTAAATGAAATAAGGGTTATTTATTTTATAAGCAATACTTTACTTTAAAACATTGCTTATTTGGTTAAATTAAAGGTGAAAAGAGAAAAAGGACAGAAATATGTTTTTTTTTGTAGAAACAACACCAGTGTAAAATTAAAAAAAAAAAGATCATGTAATGATATATGCATTACTAAAACTTTACATAAATAATGTAAAATTTATTTCTTTACACTCTATTATTTTTAGATTTTTGTATCTTCTAAGATGTTTGTATAATTTATTTTTTAGAAACTATGAGAATATCACGTATGTCGTTTCTGAAACAACTAATTCAAATATGTTATATATAATGAACAGAACTTTACTACTAATAAAAATGATATAATTTCATGTTTTTCACTCATTAAAATAATTATAAATCAAGTTGTCAGTAGTGGAAACTATTTCACACTGCTAATTCCTCTATTTTTCAACTGATGGTACTAAAATTAATTTGGGATATAGATAATTTTGTTGTGAGTGATTTCTGAGTGAAAACTCAACTGACCCAACTTTGTTAGTTAGAACCTTTTAAACCAAGGCATCAAATATTTGGTTAGTGTACTATATACTGTGGAATCCTGATGGAACTTATGTGTATAAGTTAGTCATATATTGGTTGCTTATTAGCAGTTCAAATAAACAAAAGAAACTATTTTGAAGTTATCAGAATGATAAAAGTTTATTTTATTTATTAATTTTTTAATGTGGTTTGTAACGTATTGTTTATTCTTGCAGAAGCTGGAGGAGTTGACTTGCCAAATGCCTCAAAATGTAAGAAGGGAAAGAATGAAGCTACCAAAGAATATGAATGTTTCAATTGTGAATTTCATACTCCTCATCTAAGCCAACTTAAATGCCATATAAAAAATACGCATTTATTTTCTAAGTTTTCTCGACGTGCTGTAAAATTGTTTTTGAAATGTAATGAATGTGGTTATAAAACTGGATTTATGAATGATTTAACTAAGCATATCGCCAAGCATGCAGATAGTAGTAGTAGTTTTTCATGTAAGCTTTGTCCTTACAAAACAACTCACCAAAGTCGCTTAAAACAACATTTAAGAAGGCATGCTAATGTTCAAATACATACTTGTGAAGTTTGCGGACGTTCTGTGTCTTCTTCTAGTGATTTGAAAAAACACATGAGAATTCACACTGGAGAAAAACCTTATACATGTTCTTTATGTGATTATTCAGCGAACTCCAGTACATCCCTTAGAATGCACATGAGTAAGCATACTGGTGATAGACCTTTTGCTTGTGAGCTTTGTGAGTATAAGACGGCTCGTCGTGGGGATCTTACCTCTCATATGTTATCTCATTCTAAGGATAAACCCTACGTGTGCCCTTGTGGGTTTCGAACTGCTCGTCCGGCTCACTTAAAGCGTCATATGGCAGTTCATAATGGTAATCGTCCATTCGCTTGTACATTCTGTAATAGTTATTTCACTAGATCAGATGATCTCAAAAAACATATAAAAATTCATGTTGGAGAGAGGAATCATCCATGTCCACACTGCAATTATACAGCCCTTGCTCAATCCACTCTTAGAAGACATTTAAGGAGAAAACATGCTGGGAATAAATCGGTCAAGCCAGATATTGATGATGTTTTGAAAACACCTTGTCCATATTGTGATTATAAAGCTAAAACGTCTCGCTCTCTCAATTCACACATAAAAAGAAGGCATATAAATCCCTCTGCAGAAACAAGTATAATTGGAAGAACTCATTTCCTATGTTCTCTGCGCAAGCTTTGTTTTGTTTGCTTTCATTGTGAATATCGAACAGGATATTTAAGTACATTGAGAAGTCATATTACCACTGAACATAATGGAGGTAATTGGAAATCACGTTAACACTTGACCTATGTTGTTTGTGATATTCAATTTATAGTGCAATTTGCACTGATTTCACATGAATTGTGAAATGAGTAACAGCTCTGGGAGTTGTTGGAAAAGATATTAACCGATGGAAATGAAATTAAATCTCCTTTATGACAAACTATTTACTGATATTGTTTAATATGAAGTATTTGAAGGAGAATATTGACGTTAAGATAACCCCTAAATTGAAAAAAAAGAAAAGAATTATTCATCATGGGGAACTAACGACTAACAAAGACAATTTTAATTCTGTTTCAGCTTTTTACTTATAACAACTGCAGATACACATTACTTATTGCCAATACAGATATAGGGACCATATTAATCATGGTAATATGAAGTGTTGTTTTTTATTGACTAAAATTATTTTTAAAACTACAGTACAGTTTCTTTTCCCAATGCATTTTGGACTTCATTTTTGTTGGGTTATAACTGTTGATTACTACAAAGAGAGGTTTGTTCTGAAAGTGCTGGTTGAGCAATGGCTTTAATAACTAAATTTTTTCGATATACCCATACCTAGGCTAATCAATGTAGGTATTTTGCTTGAAATTATCATAAATTAATCGTATAATGTTAGTATAGCTTATGTTTTGAACTTGAGGATCTTGTTATACCAAACCGTCTCTCCTTTGGTATTGAATGGTACACTTAACAGTTTTTGAGTTCAGTTTATGATGGGTAATTGGATAATGTGAAGTATTATTCAAAAAGTTGTTAAAAATTCATAGGCAATTTTGATTGAAAATTTGATCATTGTCCTATTCAAATATAAAAAAAAAAATAGTAATGATGTAAAAAAAGAGAAGACATGGATGTAATATTGATGGTACACTAATTTTTTACAAATCTTCAATCAGTTACTGAGCACTATCAATTTATGAGTAAAAGAAATGAGACTGTTATTGAAGTTTTTATATGTTATAAAAGTGGTTCATGAGGAGTATTTTTGAATTTACTATTCATCTTAATTATTAACGAAATGTTATTTCATTTACTAATAATTATTTCAACATGTTACATCTGATTTGAAATGAAGAATATAACAAACCAGTTGAAGCATATTGGTAATTTTCAAACCGAAATTTATAGTATAAAATAATTTTTTAAATTTATATAACATACTGCTGCAAAAATCTGAATAAACATGATTCCAATGTTAACACTACCATTTTTTTTTTTATTAGTTTTGGTCTATGAACCTGATTAATTTAGATATAGTTAATTTTATACATTTTGTATTATATCCTTTTTATTAGAATTTTGAGGTAATCAAATTTATAAAAGATATAATTATTTAATTTCCCTGCTAGAGAACACTTGTCCTTGTAAGGAAAACAGCTAAAGTAATTGATTTATTTCCGCCAGCTACTGATTTCTGTTTCTGATTGATTATAAATCACTTAAACATTGCAAAGCTATTTACAGATCACAAATTAAGTTTAACGTGAAAATTTGTTTTTGTTGATGAATAAATAATAGTCATTTATCTAATTTGTATTTTTCTGCTTCAATCCCATGAATAGCACTGAATCAAAATAAGCAATCTCCAATTTTCAAAAATTGGGGATCATTTGTTTTGATCCTTCTAATCCTTATATTCTGTTTGTATATATAGATGGTCACCCCACTTACCTGAGTTTTTATTTATAAAATAAATAAAAAACATAAGTAATTAATGAAAATAATAGTTATGTAAATGTTGGTATGTTTACATATTTACATTTATAAACAATTTAGTTTTTTAATATAAAGTATTTGCATCAATTAAACAATATAAATGATAGTGGTATAGACTAGAGATATCTATGTACTTTGAAATCTCTTGTTGTATATATAGCTCTCGAATGGAGTTATATAGCCTAAGTAGAGTGATATAATTTCAAAGTTTTCATTACCTACCATTGAAATAATAGGGTTTGTTATTTTTATGGTCTTAATGAGTTTTGGCATTTATAATTATCACCAAAATTCACAGATGTGTTCATTAATGTTTAGCTCAATTAAAATTGCCTTCAAAGAGTTGGAGCAGCCCAATTTTGGCACAAAATAATTTCTACTCAAAATAGAGTGGTAAGTAAAAGTTGTGTGATACTTATATATAATAAAAATTGTTACTGTCCCTACAATTATATTTGTTTGTTAGAAGATTGAGAAAAGTTTTTATATTGGTAAAATCTTATAAAACATCAACTTTATGGTTTCTAACAATGTGAAAAAAAGGCAATAATAAAAATAAATGTTCATCGAGTCGTAGCTTCATCAAACAATAATTGTGTAGTAAAAATACTGTCAGCACCATGTAAAAGTAACAAATGTTCAAAGTTAAACAGGTTCACATTCGTTACTTTTACATGATGCCTATGATATCATAAAGTTATTAATTTTTTGGTAGAAATTAAAGTTAACAGAGAAACTATTCAAGACTCTTGATCTTCTTGTTGGAGGTATAAACCTAAATTACATGCAATATCAGCTTTCTATCAATGCATAGTTGGAGGTAGTTGGTGGTCATAATCTCTGACCTATCATAAAAGGACAAACAAACAAATACAAGCCTTCTTTATACTTCAACTTCAACTTGCAGCCATTCAACAAAAGAAAAATATATGCCTTTAAAAATAAATTTATCTTGGAATCAGCTAAAATAACACATTATCTATTTTCAATCCTGCTCTGCCTCTCGGCCATTATAAATATTCATTTAGACTTCAATCATTACTGGCCCATATATTCTTAAAATTTCTCTTTTAAAAATTTGTAATTTAAAGGTACAGATAGTCCAAATTTCCTCTTAACATGGCACAATGGGCCTTATTTACATTTTTAAAAAGTGTATTTTTGTTGCTGGTGACAACAGCTGACCTGTAAAGTTTTAAATTGGTGAAATTAGCTCGGTTTTCTGACGCAATCCTTTTTACTTTTCTGTCGAAATTTTTTTTTTTACAGTTGAGCTCTGCACCCAGATATTTTAAAAAAAAGTCTACGTTTTCAAAGGCGCTCGTACTCTACTATCAGATTTTTTCTTGATGTTGAGTAGCTATCTGGTAGCCTTTTATACATATAATTTTGTTTTACTTAAATTAATGTTTAGTTATGATTATTTATGATTATAAATTATTTGATGATTATTTACTATTTTTACAATTTGTTTGCATACGTTACGTAGGAAGATGTTGCCTTGTAGTGGTTAATTTAATGTGTGATAGGAGCTCAAAAAAGTTTGCTCTTAGTTTCCTTCATTTCTTTTTCTCGTTTCTGATTCCGGTTTCAAAATTAGCTTTTAATAATTCAAACATATCAATAAAGTATTTTTTATTTCTTGTTAATAAGCAAATATCATCTGCATATTAGCGCAGATTTATTTGACAAAATGCAGTGTATTGAAATCAACTAAAATGATATACCTTACGACACAAATATCCTAAGTTTATATATATATAACTTTATGTTTGAATAGCAATTAATTTCATTTGTCTTTAATTTAGTTGCTTAATTAATAAGATGAAATTAATTTACCTCATAGGTTATAATTTATTTAAATTCTTAAAAGACTGTCAATGCTGACTACCAGTACTATTTTATGTTATTTATGGAATGCCCTAACAAACAATGCACTGCCCTTTTCCATATGTATCAGTCTTGTTTTCAATAATTCACTAAAGAATTGAAGGGTGAAAGTTGAAATAGCTCGGAAGGACATAATTTTAATGACAAAAGGCTCATTAAAATATCCTACTCACACTGCATTTTTATGTGTTCTGTACCTTTACGCTTGTTGGATTTAGTTAAATTAAGTTAGGAATATACAAGTTGTTGCGTTTTATTTGGGAATTGAATGTAAAAATTCTTTTTCTTATATGAACTTAGTATTCCCAGCTTTGCTAATTCACTGGTTTACTATCTACAAGAGGAAAAAATAATCTTTTTTTACATTTCTTAAATATTTTTTCTAGTAGAAGATCATTCTTCAACCTCTAATATTTTATAATTTTAATATTCCATGATTAAAATTAGGCATATACTTATTTTTGGGTTGTACCAAGAAAATTCTTGTGTTAAAAATAATTTCTGGACCTATGAAGCTATTTTTATCAAACATTTAATGCATCTTTCTCAGTGGTCCAATGTTAATACATCCCCCTTGTGGTTGTGGGAGGAGGAATTCTAGCTTCATTCTCTGAGGATTTTAATGAAACTTAATTTAGCTATTGTTTCTTCTTTCCAGTCTGGAAATAACCTAGGACTAAACAGGCCACTTTCGAATTACTTTTTCTTTGCATTTAGTTTATTTGTCAGAAATAAATTTGATAATCAGCAGATTTCTCCTCGGAAACATTAGATATGACAAGTGGAAGAATAGAACTCTGTGATATTTCTTCCCTCCTGTTACATAAAAAAAAAAGTTACATATTTTATCTCAGCAAATTCTGTATTCCATTCTTACGTTCTCTGGCATAAGTTGTGGTCATTCCCTTATTAATATGTTTGTATGTCACTGTATTACTTTTTTTTAAAACGTTTGTTGTTTGTAAATGCTAATTTTTCGGAACAGACCGAAAAATAACAACCATTTCCAGTTTTTAACTAATCTTTAATTTCCTATATTTTTTTTTAGTTATCGTCGACTCTAAATACCTAAATTTCTCTTTGTGTTTAAATGTATTCCGTTCTACATCTTTATAATAGAAATCGTCTTCGTTTCTTCATTTAACCATGTATTTTGTTTTATGCACATTTGTTAAACACGCAGTTTATTACTGGCTTTCATCGACCTTGGATCTGCGGGTTTATAGACAGTAAATTTCGAATGCATATTTCCAAACTGGTTTTAATAACTTATACGATACTGGTGTTGGAAATATAATTTTAGCCTTGGCTTGGAGCTTAGACTTAATTCTGAAGGTGTGATATTGAGTTTCAGGTTTGGTGACTAGCGTTTTTCCTTCATTCTGTCCTCTATCATATCCGAGGTACAGTATTCTCTCTGTTTGAGGAATTGATGATGTGTTTTAGTAAACAAGGCTTCCCATTCCATGTCTAAAAGGAGGGGAGGGCGCTCACTACCAATACTAATAGATGGGGAAGTGGAGATCATTGTTTCGCTCGCCTCCCTCCCAATATTTCGAAGAAGAAAAGTGAAATCAAAATCAATAATAATTAATGTATATGAATACATATGTAAAGTAAAATCAATTAAGAATATACGAAAGTCGACTATGCTAAGGTCTAGAAGTAGGTAAGCAAGTATTCTACCACGCCCTATGTTCCTAGTATTGAAATTTTAGTTTATATTCAAAGATAATTATATGTAGCAACATTTATTTAATTTATTTGTTTTCCTAGCCCCATGGTTTTTTTTGTTTACTCATTCATGTGCACACTTAAACTTTTACTTGAATATTTTATTACCTTTCCGGTGGTAAATTTGAAGCATTGGATAATAAAGATGTAATTATAAGTGTTTAAACAATAAAATTTCCTAAAGTAACCGTGACGTTTTTAGACTATAAAGTTATTATTTGTTAATACAACGTATCATGAATTTAAACTATGTTGATCCATTGCCATATTGTACTTTTAAATCGATACTGATTTATAAAACATAGAACGTGAAAGTTCAGGGCTAAGGACCAGCTGTTTCAGTCTAAATAGAATTTTCGTTTTATCAGTTCTATTTTGGAATATTGTGCATACTGTTGAAAATTAATTCATTAAATCATTTATCTCTTGTATTTATTTATCCAAAAGTTGGAAATATCCAAGGTTTGATACTAAAGTTTAGAACATCACTAATAAATTACTACACAGCTCTTAGTATGCATTTCAAATATAAAATTGGACACGGAAACCCTCTTTGCTCAGGAAGACCTCGACGTTAAGAACCAACTCCTCGACATTACCCAATCACACTTCTACACTTTTACTAATTGATATCTACTGTTTCTTTGAGCTCTTCTATTAGGGACATATCGATTTTATTGTGAAACAGCGTAACGGACAGATCCGAATTTTCCAACAGGCAAAGAATTTCTAAAAAAATAAATTTTCATCGTATTTATCATAGATGCAGACTTCGGGAAGGGCGAGGGGTGCCACCGCCCTCTCTCCCCCCAATAAAAAAAGAGGGAGCGAGAACAAATAATATAGATATTTCAAAGAATAAA